TGCCATTGACTGCCATTTTGCTGGTATTTCATAATATTATATGTGAAATGGATTCTTGAATTTTATTTTGAGTTGTGATGGGATGATAATGTGACCTTGGTTGCCTATGGGTTGCAAACCACCCTGATTACAATAATGCAGAAAAGTGGATTGCATTTCTTTTTTTTCTTTTTCTTTTAAAAGAAAGAAATCAAATGTATGTAGATCTGATTAGACCTTACTTTTCCAAGTACAACATTTTCCAGCAGGTAAAAGAGGGACACAACATGCAGAAGACTGTTTCTGGATAGTTTGTGGTGTGGTTTACTATTCTTGACCTGATTCAGAAGCAGTGTGTGACCAAGGTTTTCTATTGTGTGCGGGTTTGTCCAATTCATTGCTGCCGCCGTTACTGATATACTGATTGCATGCCTTCCTGAAAAGCAGGGTCCTTGTCCTTGTGACCTGTGCTATGATTGATAGTGACATTGTACCTTACTTGAGGCTGTTCTTGAAGACAGCTTGGATGTTTTATTATTTTATCTCTGACATTTGTACCTTAGGGTCTCAGCCTCAAAGATCTCCAGCCTGAAGTAGCTTTAGCTAGTGCACACTGCAATGTAACTCCCTCAGTCACTAAGATGTATGGTGGAAGCCTGGTTTAGAGCTCCATCAATAATAAAAAAATAAGAAATGCAGTTGGCTAAAAGTATATATATATGAAGTAGTCTTCTCCCATTCCAGGAACCAATCGTTTTGTTGAATGGAACATACAATCTCAGCAGTTTATGCACCGCTAAGATGGTTTCTGCAAGCATGAACTTACTTGAAAACTGCTCACAAGCAATTCTTACCATTTGGCTGTTATGTATAAAAGGGACAAACAGTAACAGCAAAGCTTTTTGGAAATAGTTTTTTGGGGGAAATAATCTGCATCCCTAGAACAAGCAAGCAAGGAAATGAAAACAAGATGTAGAAGGGGAAAGACAGAGAGAGAGAGAGAGAGAGAGAGAGAGAGAGAGAGAGAGAGAGAAATACCACCACAAGATAAAGGATGGATTTTTGAATCTTCATATGACTTAATACCATATCATTAAACTGTTTACTTGCTAACATTCAAGGTCTTTAAAAATAAAGAAAAAAGCACTTGGAAAGAGATCCCATCCATTCCAATAAAAATTATACCCAAAGGAAATGTTCCCAGAAATGTGGTCTATATGTTGTCCTCCCATTCTAAAATACCTCTGATAACTATTGTGATGTCCTCTCCATCAGTGTAATGGGCTGGGGCAGCCCATGAGTCAGTTTTGCTAAATCAGAAAGTCCTTCTGTCCCTTTGTTGCCTCTTAGCACCCTGGTGAAGTCATACACAGAGGTGACCTGCTGAAATAAATGAACTTCAGTCAGTCATGGCTGAATATCACTTCATCAGAAACAGCCCTAAGCCCTATATTTTGAACCTAAAAGAAGGCATTCTTCTTGTACCTAGCACATCTGTTATCACTGCAACTTCTTCTTTGGTGATCACTCATAGCTGAGTTAGATTGTCTTCCACGAACACCGTCTTAACAGTGTGTCTGTAGGTGACAGTGGAGGCCAATTCTGGATCCACATGTCCTTCCACAGTGGGGACATAGGTTTCCAGGTGGAAGTTGATCATGGTGACAGTTTGCCAAACGTTCTTTCCTCTTTGCACATTTCTCTGTGAGGGTTTGTCAAACGTGCCTTCCTCTTAGCACGTTTCTCTCTTTTGTTCTGAGGATATTACATATGGGTTGGATAGTAATGAGTGGGGAAAGGGGAGAAATTCCGTTCAGTTCACAATGAAATGCAAATCTATCTAACCCACACTTCTCAAAAATCAGGCAAACTGAAGCCCAGCCACCCTTCAAAATCCACACTTCTCTGATGCCCTTCTCCAGCCAAATAATGTGTAAAAATCGCACATCCTGGGGTTAAAGATGCAAAAATAAAGCATATATTAGTGAAAATGACTTACATAAATACATTGGGTAGGATAATCATATCCAGCCCTGTCAACAGAAACTCTGTACGAAGCCTGCTTGTACAGTGGGGTGTTCTCTCTCCTCTCCCCATGCGCCACCTCCATTTGATTTGGAAGAGGTCAGGTGAACCCCCACAGCAGCACACAGTGGGAGGAGAGGGGAATCGTTCCAGCTGGCAAACTGAAATACTTGCACAGATGGAATGCTTGAAAGAGCACAAGTTTGAATTACACCTCTTACATTAGGGTGAAAATAGGCTTTTGCAAAAAGGTGTACATTGGGCCAAATTGCACAGAAGAATGTGTATGTTAGAATAAGTTCATATTAAAGTGCTAAATTTGGATGGGGACTTTTAAAAAATGGACAACTGATGTGGAAATGTGGAGAACTGAATCTAAGGGCTTATCCACACTTCTCTTTGTCCCACTGCTTCCCCCCAAAAAACTCATAGTTTAGCATTGAATTGGTACCAGCAGCAATAGGATTTTCCACAGGTTGCTGTTTGTTCCGATTTAGCACGAAACCACAGGTTTTCCAGGTGAAAGCAGCAAAGCAAACAGAAAACCTCTGTGACAAGTAGGAAACCGCTTGGGCCCATGATTTCTAGGCATGGAACAAGCGAAAGCATGGGCGAGCCCTCAGATTGGAAAAATGAGAAACTGAGGAAAACCAAAATGGGCAAATTCACCACTCCCTAGTAGTGAGTGACACATCTGCCAAACATGGTTTAGATTTATAGCTAAAATAGGGCATTATATTCTGTTGCCGATTGCCATTGACCGAAACCTGTGGCTGGATTTGACAGGGCCTGTGACATCATTAATTTTCAGTGCTCACAAGGGGAATATTTCTGTTTACTGCAACATTCATGGCTCATTCTTGATGGCTTCTAATGTTATTATCCGTGAAATAATGTGTTTCCTGAAAGAATGTCGTTATTATACGAAGTTGAAACCTTTGACTGAAAGGTATGAAATTTAATTGCATGCCTAACCTCCTCACCACTGCCACCCGCCTGAAATACTAGAGAAACGAGGCCGAAGAGATCCAAAAGCCATTCTTGTTGGCCTTTCAGAGCGTCTCAATAAATTGATCTAAAGTTTCTGTATTTCCTTTGTGGAGCATACATGGGTAAATCATTAAGTCCGGGGCTTGGTTTTCGTTCAAAAAACCATCACAACACCTGGATTTCTGCCTGAAGTTAATTCAAACTCTCCAAAACCTCCCCACTGTTCAAAGCAAAGCTGGAAAGGGGTTCATATAAGCAAGATTAAGAGATTTTCAGGATCACCTGCACTGTGCGATTTTTCAAGTCAATGTCTGATATCTCCTTATGGTTGTAGAAAATGTGAATGTATGAAGCAATAGTCATAAATTCTGATTCTATACTTTCTGTTGTTGTGCCTCAAATGACACAGCAAGAACTAGAGGGGAGCTTCATTTCCTCCTTATATTACCTCGCTTCAGAAGCTACGCTCTATGCATTCCAGTGGTGGTTGGCACTCATTGGGCCTGGAATGGGAGAAGTCAGGGGGACCAGCGACAGGTGGAGCCACAGTCAATGACAGATGGAACCAGCTGATTCTAGCTTCATCCTTACTTTCCTTTTGGAGTTCTGCAGAAGAAGCACTGAGACTAAGGAGACTCCCTGGACTGGTTGTAAATAAGAAGTATGTGGGGGCAAGGCATGTGCAGGGTGGCTGAAGTTAGTGGGATAGGGCCTATCTATTGTGGTGTGGCCCCATTTGCTCTAACAGTGTATTCTAAGAATGCATGGAGGTGTGAGAGGCATATATGTTCTGGGCCTGCAACTAGTGTCTCCCCACTGGCTTCATCCCAGACTTTTGCTCAGGCAGAAGGTCCGAAGGGGAATTGAATTAGGAACCCTGTGCAGCCAGAGGTCACATTACATTGCCAGTGATCATTTTGAAAGTCCTACTGAGGGAGAGTTAAGCACATGCTCCAAATTTCTCATTCGAATCAATGGTATTTAATCATCCTTAACTTTTGCTGGTGAGTGGATCTTTGTTGAAATGTTTTCCTAGAACAAGATTGGGTTTGGGTGGATGTGGATGTGGATGTGGATACGGAGGATATTAATGCCTTTGTGAGGGATAGTTGTTGTTGTTGTTGCATGCACACCATTTATCCACGGTGTCTCCTTACAAATCACCATTCACATCCTCTGCGAACCATCTACCTACTTATTTGGATATGGGCTTGCAGATACTTCTGTGCTGATTGGACAAGGTCACCAGTATTAAAAGAATTAGTTTTCTCCCAATTGGAAACTGTGTAAAACAATGAACGCAACCAGGTCAAGTAAGGGCAAAGCAACTGGCAATGTACAAGAGTACAGCGAGACATATGCTTTCATTTGCGCAAGTTTAAAACAACATAAACACAGATGCTAATAATTCACTTTCACTGCAGCTGCTTTCAATCTCAGCTTCTCCCAGCCCCGGCAATACCTTTATTCTACAGATATATTACCCTGCTTCCTTTATCTATCAATTTGCTGTCATTGAAGTCAATGGGATGACTGCCATAGGGTTTAACAGTAGAGAGAGATAAGGAATCCAGGCAGACTAAACAGCTTTAACTTGCTAGCCGTATTAACTGTCTCTTCATCTTCCTACAGAAAGAAAAGGCATGGACAAAATGCACACCCTTCCTTTGTTCTTTCTACTGGGGGGGGGGGGTGTCATCAAGATAGTTGCAATCCCAGATAGTACCTTGTTTTACATTCAGAATTTAGCTGAGAATCTGAACAATTAACAAATGTTGTCGAAAAACTCTTTCTGAGGTAATTAACTAGCAATGTTCTAGCAAAATACCATATTTTTTGCTCCATAACACTCACTTTTTTCCTCCTAGAAAGTAAGGGGAAATGTCTGTGCGTGTTATGGAGCGAATGCCTACGGATGGCAGGGAGATCTGCTGCAGTCGTGAGCAGAGGATCCATGGTTCCCCTTCCTTCCCTCCTCCGTGGCTCGCTTTGAAACAGCAAAGCGGGAGAAGAGCCGCTGAGTGGGGAGGAGAGAGGGACAGAAAGCCTGCTTGCTTTAAAGGAGCAAAGCAGGAGAGGAGAGGAGCCGCTTACACGAGTGTAAGCGGCTCCTGTCCAGTTGGCTTCTTTAAAGCAAGCAGGCTCTCTGTCCCTCTCTCCTCCCCACTCAGCTCGCTAAATAGCAGCAAAGTTTTTCAGCTTGCTAAGCCGGGGAGGTGGGAGAGAAGCAGAACCTGCTTTCTTTAAAGGAGCAAAGCAGGAGAGGAGAGGAGCCTTCTCCTCTTATACCCCTCTTTTGCATTATTAGCAGCATCCTTTCTCCACACACCCCACACGTGCTCCTTGTCCCTTGAGTGCTTTTCCTTCCCTCCCCACTTAAAACGTGGTTACAAAGCACAGATCCACATGGATCCTCAGGAGTTTTGCACTGGGTCACCCCAAATTCACCATCAGATCACATAGCATGTCCATGGCTACAGCTTGCACCAAAAAAAGCACGCACCCACTGTTGCCTGGGGCCGCAGTGGTGCAAAAATGTGGTTACAAAGCATGGATCCACATGGATCCTCAGGATTTTTGCATTGGGCCACAGCATGAGCTACAAAAATCATACATCCACTGTTTCGTTTAGAATATTTTTTTTCTTGTTTTCCTCCTCTAAAAACTATGTGCGTGTTATGGTCTGGTGCGTGTTATAGAGCGAAAAATACGGTAAATTGCAGAGAACTTACAGGAACACCTGGATTTGGGTCAGTGGTGATGTAGTGAGAAATTTAGTGACAACATGCCCGAAGTCAGCATAGGTTTCATTCAGGTGCAATGAATTTTGTTCTTTGGCAATATCTAATTCACTTTGGTTTACCACCAGGCTCAGGCACACACACGCCCCAGTTGTGTGGAGGTGATGCCATATGATCCCACAAATATATGCACACACCAACATGGTTGGTGACTGTGGTAACGCCATAAAATTCTCTAGGAAATGCTGCAATCACATCTACTTGTACAGTTCACACGGTAAGTCCTCCTCAAAATTGGTGCATAAGACCCTCATGGAAATGGAAATGAATATCCTTGTTCTGCTTGTGGTAGCTACTTGTCCCTCCAGCTTCTAGTGAATGGGCTGACTAAATGGTTGACCATGACCAACAGCTGCTATTCTGCATGCCACTGTCAACCTTGCAAATATGGACTGATATTTATTTGGATCAGGGTGAGCAATTCAGACAACTGCTTGTCATGAGCAGAAAAATTACCAAACACAAGGATTAGGGGATAAGAGCATTCCCTATGAGCAGGGCAGTAGTGTTCATGGGCCACAAGCAGTCCCTTGTTTGCTTCAGTGGCAAACCCTGTACTTAAAAGCCAAACCAGATGTGATGTTACTCACATCATTTGGCTTTGTGGGCTTCTTTTAAATAAAGAAATAGCCAGCACAGTAAGGGATGAGCTGGATCAGGATTATGGTTGTGGGCTTTAACATTTCACTTCCACTGTGGTCATTTTCCAAATCAGGACCTCTTGTACCTGCTGTTTACAATGGGAGTAAACTACTCAATAGTGTCACTCATTGGGTGCTTTTGTCCCATTTACAATAGTAAACATTCCCACCCTTCTGATTCAAGCCAGAGTTTCAGGCCAGGTGTTATAGCTCAGCCATTGCATGTCCAGCATGACATGGTACTGATTCATCTCAAGGCTGCCATGCTGTCTATTTGGGGTTATATATATATAACAATGCAAAATCAAATGATGTGACTAGCAACACATCTGGTTTGACTCTAGGTCTGTGAAATCCTATGCTTAAATTTTGTACAAGTACTTTAATGCACATGAAATTCTGGGATACTGAAAATGTAAAGGGTTCACCAGACTCCTGTATATTTTTTGAAATCATTTAGCAGATTACAGTTCTACCCTGCTTTGCAAATTGTCTCTTAAAAAATGAGTAGAATGATTTAATGAGAAGTGAATGCAGACATATAAAAATTGAGCTTTCCGAGATCCTTAAATATGCTTAAAAGGTTAATATTGAGAGTAGGATTGCTACACTTGGGGACCAATGCTGAATTAATGCATGAGCCATATTATTTCATTTGCAACAATTTTTTATTCTTCTGGTCATAAAATCATCCCCTCCCTACCACAAATTGACCAGTTTTAGTTATTGATTGATTGATCAATAAGAAGGCAACCACTATACCACAAATTAATCTAAAAAGAGAATAAGATGAGCACATCAACAAGTTCCCATTAAATTGACATTTTACACTGGGAAGTTCCAAATAAATGTTTCTACAGCACAGGTCCTAGTCTGGCCAGGGTAGAATATTCCACAGTAGATTATTCCACATACATTGCTGAAATGATAGTGTGCATATCATAATATTAACGAAAAACATCTAAGAATTATCCCAATGTTCCTGATGAAAGAATGATGATAGGGGAATGCGAGAGTGCCTTGAGTGCATATTTTTCTTATTCACAGGGAGGGTAGTAAAAATAAAGTTAGTTCAGGCTTGGTTAAATATGAGAGGATTCACTGTTCTGGAACAGGCTCCGGTTATTAATCCTCCAAATTGTATGTATTGTCTGCAGATAGATGAAAAGTAAATACATCCAGTCTTCAGCTCTCTTTTGATTTGTTTTACATTATTTAACCCCCTTCCTACCACATGGAGGATGAGCGTAAGACTTACATTGTTGCTAGAGGACAATAGGATGTTTGTGCGGGGAAACTGAATTCTTATTTTTAATGGGCTACAAACAAAATCTCCTTTCCTCTGTGGGTACAGTTTGGCATTTGCCAAAGCATCAGCACAAGGTGTAATACAAGATTAGGAAGCTGGATCCGGCTGTAAGGTTTCACCCTGGGTTTCACAGTCTCTAGCAGGGATTGGCTGTGGAACTCAGCAGCAGAGCTGATACAGGATGCTGGGCTGGCCCAAGACATTTTGCTGCTTGAAGAAAAGGACAAGACTGTGCAAGCCAGTTTATACCTACAGAATCTGACTGGACAGGCCCTTGACTATTTCTTCAAGAAGGCGACATCCTCCCCATATTGAGGGGCAATAAGACCCCAATCCCCAGAATCTGCTATCCGAGGCAGCTGCCACATTCTGCCTATGGTAGGGCCAGCCCTACCTGTGTGAACTCTGCTAAAGCATTTGAAGAATCTAGCTGACCAGATAGCCTCAAGAAGACCTCTGCTCTGATCCAGTAAATCCTATGTGTTGGCTGTATGGCTAGAGTTTATTGCATTCGTATAATCACATTTTTATGGAAAACTTTTCAAGCATCATCTGGCAGATGTCAGGGTGCTGCAGAAATAACGTTATTACTATCAGCCTGTGCATGGTAAAAATCTCACTGCTTCTCAGTTTCAAAGATGTGCCACAATATAAATATGCAGTCCATTTTTTACAGTGACAAGTTGGCTTACTTTGGGAACTGAAAGTACATACAGAAATTCAGATCATGCAAGGGCGGACATTATCCCTATGTGCACGTCTATCATCTTATACTTGTTCCAAATATATATATATATATATATATATATATATATATATATACACCCCTATTTTTTCTCTGTCTTTTGGTATTAGGCAGAAGCTACCATTATGGGGAACACATGTTTGTTTTTTTGGCTCTTATGCAGCAGGAACCTCCATAGCACAAGAGACCCTGCTGGGCTGGCAGTATTTTAGGGGTGCCTATGAAGCAGTGTGCATGTATCCCAAGATCCCTCATAATTTCGCAGAAAGAGATGAGATGATACCGTTTCCCCCTATTCCTTTATTGTCCTGCTGCTTCGCCATACCTCCTATTCCACCCCTCCAAAATACTGGTTGCAACCAGAACCTTTTATAAAATTAACTCCAGAATTGGAACATGCTTAGTTACATGGGTTCGTGTGCATCTTCCTCCATCCTCTGCTTTACTAATGTGCACATGCATTTTCATAAAACACTGCAAAAAGGGACAATCCTGAAGTAACTGCATTTCTAATTGCATCAAGACACTTTTTGTGTTAATGATGCACACCTCTTGGTGTCCCTCTTTTCTGATGAAAAACTATTTGACAGAGCAGAGTCGTCCACTAGCTGAACATGCGTTGAGATGATCTCCAGCAATTCTCCCTCACCTCTTCATAAAAAAATGTGTGTATTAGGAGAAATTTGCACTAAAATGCTGATTGATGTTCATGAGAACCCTTTTTAAAAATGCAAACTGATATGGAAATGTGGAGACCTGAACCAAAGATTGGAAAAATGAGAAAAGGTTAGAATCTGAAATTGGCAGTTTCATCCAAGGGGCAAAAATAGTGAGACAAGGGAGGGGGGCAAGAAAAACAGTAAATATGAAGATGGCATATTAGTTATTTTTCTTGCTATTCCACCCACCCACCGCTCTTGTGTCACCTCTGCAGTTCTTTCCCAGCTACACTGGCATGGTTCCCAGTGTTTTGCAAGTCACTCGCATTCCTCCTGAAAGAACTGGATCTCTGATAAAATGACACAGTCTCAATAGGGTGACACCTGGAAGATAGGGTGCACTTGAAATATCAACCACATTTTAAAAAATGCTTTGAATCTGGGACTTTAAAAATGAGAAACAAATGTCGTTTAACACTCCCCCTCCCCATCATTCACCTCTCTGTGTTTATGAATGACCTAAATTCTTTTCAAACTTGAAGCAGTGGGAAGAAATGTAGCCAAAGAGATGATTTTCCATGAGATCATCTTGATGAAACCATTCCAGTGACACCAAAGGGAAACGAAATGAAACGGTGCTTAGATGTGAGCGACACGAAATGCACTCATTAGGATTAATCCCATCTCGCTCTTCCTGCTTTAATTTCTTGGGTAGCAATCAATCAGTCTCTAATACGTGCTCTTGACTTTGAAATGCAAACACAAAGGATGTTTTTCAAAGCTCTGGCTTATGGACTTCCTATAATTCAGGGAAATTGACCAATGTCTCCTGTTATGCCTGATCATTGCCCCTGCTGGCTGGAGCTTGCGGGAGCTGGAGCCCAGCCATTTCTGGAAAGCCACAGGTTCCTTATCCCTGCCTTGCACAGAAATGAGGTGCATATTAAGGCCCCCATCTGCACTATACCTTTAAGCAGTTTCATACCACTTTGAACAGTCAACTGTAGTTTGTTAATGGAGCTGAGA